AACCAAATATCTTCCAGCAGCTTAAAGTCGTGCTGGACAAACATGCTGCAAAGAGAGATTAGCCAATGATCCCACACACTATACCGATATTACCTAATAATATCCTCATCTGTAAAGTCCACTGTGTCCACAGCCATGCGCTTAAGCTCCGTGCAGCTGCAGAGAAACGCCTTGAGGGAGCTCGTCATAATGGCACTGCTGAGAATTTCCAGTCCCTCCAGCTGCTGAAATTTCGACTGCGCCTGTCCATACGACAGACTGTCTATCAAGTAGCAGTCGAGATCGATCAGCGAGGGGCACAGACGCGCCAGCTTGCCCAGCTCCAAGTTGCCAGTGCCCTTAATCATTGTCAAATGCCGCAGATTCCGGCCAATGGGCCGCTCCAGCAGCGGCAGCAGCTCCGCCACCACAAACCGATTGATCTTCAGCTTTCTCAGAGTTCTAGTGTGCAGTGCCCGCAGGGAGCCCGTCTTGGGTGAGTCCAGATAGAGCGTCTCCAGTCGCGGACACGTCTGCATAATCACCTGCAGCGTCGCCTCATCCGTTGCCGTGTCGTGGACGTACCTCAGGCGACACTTGAAATGATCGTCGACATTGTCAAAGATAAACTTGAGGGAGGCGCCCACAAAGGAGTACGTGGACAGCGTCTCCACCTGTGGACAGTGCTCCAGGATGAGCGCAACGTCCGAGTAGCAAATGTTTTCCTCGCCGGGCATGCCCACATCCACGACAGTCAGCGACTGCGAACACACGCCCTTGGCCAGCACATCAATGCCAATCTCTGTGATGTCCGTCTCGCCGGAGATGTCCAGTATCTGCAGGCGCGTGGACCACTTGCCAATCTCCTCCAGCAGCTGATCGTTGGCTATGTATGGCACATAGAGCTTCACAAGCTGCTTGCAGCGCCTCACAATGTCGTACATGTAGTGCATGTGCTCCTCCTTCACCCAAATGCCCTTGATGTTGAGCACGCGCAGGCCAGCGCCCTGAGCGGCAATCACCTGCAAAATAGTGGGCAGATTATGGCCAAAATCCTGCGGAATGTGCACAGCAAACTCACCTGCAAAATCTTCTCATAATAGCTAAACGGAAAGACCTCCGTAAACAAAAAGGTGACGCCACAGTTGAGCAACATTTGCAGGCAGGTGAACCGCATATTGGCATCCAGATAATCCGAGCTAAGGATGACCCGCAGCAGATCCTGATAAATGTTCGATGTGGCGCCCGACTGCGCCAAGTACTCGTTCAGCTCGACCATCACAATGTTTATGTCCAAGTGGACATCGGGCGCGTACTGCACATAGCTAATGGTGGACACCAGCAGATTGGCCAGCTCCGCCAGAGCGCTGTCGCTCAGCGAGCGCACGCTGCACTTTTTCGACATCGTAAACAAAATGCGACGCAGCAAAACACCAAACAAAAACGGGGCAAGCAGATCGATTGAGGACTGCCTCTGTGGTTACATCACACGCTGGGTGGATCGCTTAATAGTTTCGGGTTTAGCTGGAGGTTTCCCAGTTCCCGTTCAAGTCCTTTCCTCCGTCCAACTACTTAGCGAATTTTCTCGTTGCTCTTTTTGCACAGATACATATATGTTTATATTCTTTATATTTATAAACAAAAATAGATTCTAAAATTATATATGCGATGGAAATGGTTTTTCGCGCTGCGGCCGTGCTACGTGCCAAACGTTTGGACAGCGCGAGGCAAACTGAGAGACCAACAATAGGACGCGACGCCAATAGTTTTGGCTGCACAGCAGAGGCAGCGCCAGACGACACTTTCGGTGGCTCTACAATTTGCTCAGGGAAATGGTCATTTATATGCGGTCTAACGAAATACTAAGAGAGTTTTGTCCGGCTTAAGCTTGGGAGATTCTAAGGATGCAGATAGCTGGGCAGCTTCATGCGCATAAACAGCCACGTAGTAAAGAAGGAAACGAGTATGAATATAAAGCCCATGGCGGTGAGCAGCAATCGATTGAGATTCGTCTTGCCGGGTGCATGCGTCTGGTCCATAATGATGAAGCCCAGGCCGCCGACGGTGAACAGAAAGCTGCTGGCAAGGCCCTCCATGATGTATTGTCCGTTCACTCGGTAAGGCATGAACGCCACAGGACGCGAATGGCCGTGCTCATCCACAGTGGCGCCCACGCTGGGTGGCTCCACAATCACATCATAGATGATGCCTGCAACGGGATTGTTAGAATATAGCAATAATAATTGAAGCACTTTTGTGTACTCACCGCCGGTCACCAAAAAGTAGGAGAGCAAAATGACACTAAACACAGCCATCGGCGAGGGCATTGGGATGCTAAACCGCCGCACTTTGATATTGGGCGGCACCAGTATGTGAAAGGGGAGGCTGTACAACGTCTCAATCATGGCTGCAGCTTCAGATATGGACAATAATTAATGTGAATACAAAGTTTTTCGCTTTGTGAGGTGTCCAAAAAAATAGCCGGCGTAGGCGTTCAATAATATCGGCTAGAGACGAGCGTTGACGAGTATTTTTATAAGTCGCAGCTGTTACACAGAGTCGCGGTATAAAATATTAATATATTTTATAGAAAAAATGGACCCAAATGCTTATTTTTGATTAGCTGTAGAAATTTAAAATGTAATTCGAAGTAATTCCTTAGTTCGTTTGAAAAATTAAAATAGAAAACAATTATCGGCGTTTGTCAAACCAAAATCTGCTACCATCGCGTACTTTTATGCTTAAGCTGCTCCAACACAGAATAACGATAGTAGGACTATCGATGCCCTAATAAAATATACAAATGTAGTAATAAAATGTTATTTTAAGATAAAGGCATGGATAATGTTTAAAAGCAGCTTGGAAACCGGAATTTTAACATTAATTCATGAAAGTAGAGGGTATACATATTCCATAGCACTGGTGGACAAGCAACAAGTAGTCACCCTTTACGTTAAAATCATCCGTTTATACTAATTAATTTAGTATAAAATTCAATAAAATATGTTATCAAAACTAGCCAACCTTGTGGAGAATTTATTGGCAAATCACTTAAAATTATACGTTTAGTGCTGAGGGTACTAACTATTTGATAATGTTCATCAGAATATCTAAATCGAGGAAAATGATTTAGGAGCACGGTATTTTTAAGGTATATTTTTAAAATGGATCGGTATATTTCAGTAGAGCAGAGGGTGCTGCGGTATATGTTATCGATAAGTCCGCGGTCCCACAGCCAACAACAAACAAAACGTAATTTCCAATACAAAATAAATTGAATAACAAAAACCACAAATTAAACAAGCATGGCAGATGCCAATGCATATGAATCAGGTAAGTCGGCAACCCTAACTATTGAGAGCGAGTAACCGTAACTTTTTGTTGCAGTTATATTGCCGGCTATTGCCAAAAGAGTGCAAAATATTGGCGACTTAGCTCTGTGGCAGCGTTCCCGCGCCTACCATGATCTGATTGGATACATCAATGGCACCAGCTCGGCCATACAGGGCATCAAGTCCACCGACGCCATGTACGAGTCGGATATGCTGCGCAAATTGTTGCGCATCTTCGAGCTGCTGGAGAAGCTGGTCGAAAAATATCCGCCCTTGGACCAGCCGCAGCGCTTTGGCAACAAGGCCTACCGGGACTGGGCCAGGGACATGCGAGAGCAGTTGCCGGAGCTGCTGCGCCAACTCCTGCCGCCCGGCAAGCAAAAGTACTTGAACGAACTGCAACAGTATCTGACGGAGGCCTTTGGCAATGCCACGCGCATCGATTATGGCACCGGCCACGAGCTCTCGTTTATGTTTTTCCTCTGCGCTCTGTTCAAGGCCGAGATACTGGACGAGCAGGATATTGTGAGTGCTGCGCTGCGTCTGTTCAAACGCTACTTGGAGTTTGTCAGGCAATTGCAGCGCACATACAACATGGAACCAGCTGGCAGTCAGGGCGTCTGGTCGCTGGACGACTACCAATTTGTTCCTTTCATTTGGGGCAGCGCACAACTCTCGGGCAAGTCCACACAAAGTTTATTCTGCCTATTTGCTTATATATTTTATATCTTGCCTTGCAGTTCGAAGTCCCTTTGATCCGTGCAAATTTGTGGATGAGCAAATCATCAGCGACTACAAGGATCAGTACATGTTCATCAGTTGCATTGATTACATCTGCAAGGTGAAGACCGGACACTTTGGCGAGCACTCCAATCAGCTGTGGAGCATTTCGGATGTGCCCTCGTGGGTGAAGATCAACATGGGTCTGGTCAAAATGTATCAAAAGGAGGTGAGGAAGTCGAACCAAAAGCCAGCCGCCTGTTGCACGCTTTACTTACACCTGTCCAAACTTCCCTCTTGCAGATCCTCTCAAAGTTCCCGGTCATACAGCACGTTTTCTTTGGCGATCTGATGTCGTTTGAGACGGTTACAGCTGGCACAACTATCACTAGCGCCCGCCTGGGTCATGTGGCGCCACCGCCGTCAAAGCGCAAATGCATAGTGCCAACATTGGTGCCACAAGCGCCACAGACACAAGCACCACCGCCGCCCATCGAGGCTCTAGCGGGCGATCAGAATGCCGGCGATTCGAGCAGTGAGAGCAGCGACAGCAGCGTTGTGCTACGTCCATCGGCATCGGCATCGGCCAGCTCAGCCTCGCTGGTGGCCGCCGCCGCTGAGGGCTCTGGTGACAATTTAAATGAAATACCCAAGGAACCGGCCGCCGAGTAATAGTTTACTGATCGAAGATCCTACCTGTGTTACAAAATCTCTAATTAATAGCGTTGCCATTTACTTCAAAATAAATTGCTTATAAATGTGCGTCGGCAGGCGGAGTGGAACTGGGCGCGGAAGGAATCTAATTGAATTATTTTCATTTTAAATACTTTCTGTAGCCTTTAGGCAAGACTTTCTCGCGAACATTGCAGGCCCCTTTGGCCTTAAATATTGCACAGATCTCTTGGGTTAACTCAAAACTATTTTATTTGTACTTCAGTTTAACAAAAAAACAATATTTTCTCTCTCTTTAATCTATGGGCTATTCCTCAGCCATATTTGTTTGGGTTTCTTTGATTATCGTACCTTTGTTAGTTGCGCTTGCCGCTGGCTCTTGTGTGTCTTCTTTGACTCTCTCTCTCTCTTTCTGGTGTTGTCTATGGCTGGTTCTGTCACTGGGCTGGGTAAATATATGTGCCAGTTGCTCTTCCCCGTAGGCCAACTCCTACAACATCTCCCTCAACGCTGCCCTAAGCTTAGTCTCACTTTTCGTATACATCTTTGCCACGCACCTGGAGGAAGGGTTATAGAAACATTAGCTAGGGGATTCGCCTCTTCAAGCTCTACTCACAGCTTTCTTGACTCCAATCGGCTGTCCAATTGTCCAAATCGGCCGCTGTTTCTTCTGCATCAGCATGGCAATTTCCCCGTTGATTTTTGCCATCTTATTCTCAAGATCGATTCGCTTTTGATGGAGGATTTGTTCCCTGGCATGGAGCTTCTCCACCGAGATCTGTAATTTCTTCTTATCCCTTTTCACCTGGCGATCCGCCGCCATAAGGTCCTGCAACTTGGAGAGGACCACGCTCGCCTTGTGTTTGGCGATATCCAGCCTGGATTCGAGGCCGTTGCCCTGGCTGGGCTCGCTGTCCGAGTCGCTGGAATTGTCACTGTCTTGCGTAATGGCATGTTTTAGGTTAAGAACCTCAGCGGAGAGCTTCTTTTCTTGCGCCTGAAGCCTGACTATTAAACCATCAATGACTGAGCCCCTGGCATCGAACTTGATCGCGGCATCCTTCTGTTTGCTCTGCTCCTCCAACAGTTGACGATGCTCCTCCGTGAGATTGCTCATTTGGGACTGAAGCTTGCCCAACTTGGCCTGGACGATTCCCAGCTTGCCTCTGACCTCCTCGTCCAAGTAGCTGAAGTCGCTCTCCGAGTCGCTGCTGTCGCTGGAGTCCGAGCCGCTGCTCGACGAGCCACTGCTGTCCTCCGACTCGCTGGGTACCTGAGCGTACAGATTCTCAAAGAGACTCTCCAACTTCTCGCACATAATCACGATATCGTGGGTTTTCGGATTGTACTTGTAGCAATTGCTGAACATCAAGTGCATGTCGGCTGCAAATTGCGCGACTTTGCTGTACTCGCGATTCTCCATTTTACGCTTGACGGTGCCCAGATCCATGGGCTGCTTGATTACGTCAAGGTAGTCGTACAGGCGAAGTTTCTTGACATCCACCGGTGCGTAGAAGGGCCAGGCAATGGCCCTGTGCTTCTTGCTGAACAGCACTTTGAGGATCTCGTAGCAGAACTTGAGCGAGTCCGAGAGGTTCGGCTTTGGCTCCAGCTTCACCTTGCGGGTCTCCCGCTTCACCCCGCCGGACTCGTACTCCACCAGCCCTCGCGTCAATCCTTGCTCAAGCTTCAACTGGGGCAGCGCTGATGGTCCAGGCTCCAGCTTCAGGCCGCCACGCTCGCGTTTCACTTTGCGCCGCTTGGAATCCATTTTCAAACTAAGCGAAAACAGCAGCAATGAAATGTTTCACAAATCAACGTTTTATTCTCGCACTCACTATTCGATTGGTTTTGCAGCGCCTTCCGCGTGGTTATTTTACTGCCAGCTGCCGCCCTACGAATGATCTGGAATGTGAAGTTTCTGCAAGAACTGGAACTAGTTCGCCATCTCGAATTTGCTTGCACGCGTCACCCTGTTGATTTGTGCGCCAAGGAGTTCCAATTCAGCTGAGAGGCACCCACATGCACACATGTCAGGGCTGCAAAAACACACACACACACAACTCTATGTGCATATGTGTGCATGCTGGACCATCTGGCTTTTGATTTGGCGCCCAAGAGAGAATAAACTGATAAACTTCTGCACTCACTATTCCACTGACTAACTAAAGAAGCTTAAGCCAAGGCTTAATTCTGGCCATAGCTGGACACTCACACATGCCCCAACATGTCTTAAAATCGATATTAATTGTAATTTATTTGATGTAACAACATTTAAGCGATGCTAGTTTATATTTATTGTGAGTTGCCAGGCTTCATGGCACGAGCCTGTGCGCGTACGCGCTTCTTGTACTCCTGCAAATTGCGTGTATAAATGTTATAAGCCTCGGCTTGGGCTGGATCATTGACGTTTGGCTCATTCAAGAGCTCTTGGGTGCCCAACAGGATCTGGCGAATGGTCATGGACGGGCGCCAGTCCTTGGCCTCATCAAGCAGCGACAGGCACACAGTGCCCGATGAATAGATGTTTGGGTGAAAGAGCGGCGGCATGAATTGACACTTTGGCGGTGCACATGGATAGTCGTCTTCGAAGATCATGCGAAGCTTGTACAGGCCACCCTCCCGGATGGTGCCAGCCTTGCCATTTGCATTCTTGCAGGGGCGTGCGACAAACCCAAAGGGGTGATCCTTGAGCCAGGCTCCTTGATCCTCCTCGCACAAACGAGCTTGAGAAAGTCCACACATCTGCAGAAATGAAATTTCCTTTTTGTTGAGGAAAACGCTTTTCTTTTCAGCGGCACTGACTGACTTCAATTTTCGAATGAATGAAACATTTTCCGACAGCTTGCTGAGATTGTGTTTTCCACCTTGAAGCTCATAATAAGCCAGGCAACAAAACCTTTAATCATGATGCCCTAACAAGCCTTAAAACCTTTCGAAAATAGCACTCTGAGCCATTTATTTCACTTAATTTCAAGACACAGTTTTCACACAAAGAACTGTGTCAATCTTAAGCCGGATTGGAGGGAAACGAATGTACCTTAATCCCTCAACCACAAAATCAATACGACAAATGAGGCATGCAAATAGATGAACTTGCAACAACTTTTTGTGGATGTAAAATCTCTCATCTTATTGTAAAATAAAATGAAACAGCAAAAACGCAAAACAAAACAAAAAAGAAACTTTTGTGGGCATCCGCCGAAAGCATAATCATTTATTTTCGACACATCATTTATCAAGCTGGGCGGCAGGAAGCAGCTGCCACCCGCTACTACTCGGCATCCTTCTACCTCATTTCGTGGCTTAAAAACTGTCCCCCTTCTATAGTTTTTAGGTGGGCCAGAAAGAGAGGTGCGGTGTCGTAGCAAGCATTAAAACTTTGCCGACGCATTTTTGATTGAAGACTCTGAAAAAACATGAACAATGTTCGGTGCAAGGAGAAGGCCAACTTCGGTCATGTTCATCAATTTGACCTCCTCATCCAGCCTCGTTTTTGGGTGGAACTGGCACTCCGCAGCCGGTACGGTCCGGTTGTATGTGGCTCGGTTCAGTTTCTGTTTTTGCAAATTGAATGAAATTTTGTGGGCGAGCCCTGTCAGCGGGCGTTGCGTACATGATTGAAGGGCGGTGCTGGTAGCGGCAGTGGCGGCGCTGGTGATGGATGCCAAGGTGGGACCCGGAACTTGTACACTTTGAAGTTGGTTTTGGCCGTGTCTCTAGCCCGTAATGCTGCATTCTCCAGTCGTGGAAGTAGTGGAAATATTTACTTTAAAACTTCGTTGATTGCGTGCTGGATGTTTTTTTTTAAGGGATTTGTTTGTGTAAGAAAGTGTGGTTTGCTTATTATTCGATTAGATTCTGTTAAATTCTTAACATTTCTGCACTGCTACACTTCTGTTAGAACTCTGTTCCAGTTCTGTTACAGTTCTGTTCGAATCCTGTTCCAGTTCTGTTACAGTTCTGTTAGAATTCTCTTCTGTGTGTCGTGTCTTTAATTCTGTTTTCTGCATGTCAACTACTGAAAGTTCTCATGTTTACTAGCCAAGTGCTGTGCTCCACCTTCTGTGCTACTTGCCAATCAAAGTGTTTTGTGGCAAGTGGCTTTTGTGCCTTTGCCATGGAAACACCTATTAGAGAGAGACGCAAAGCCATTGAAACTGAAACTGAACCTGAAACTGAAACTGTAATCGAATGCATATCCATTTCTTGAATGGATTCGACTGACTGCTGACGGTGAATGATCGCCAAAGGGAAACTGAGAGTGGAGAGAGGCACACATCATAAATTTAAGGGTAAAATAAAATTACGAACTTTTCAGCTTCTTCTCTTTCTCACTGCCCTGGTCCTGAGGCCCAAAAACATAATTCACAGATTTTGCTTGCCATCCTTGCCATGTCCCTGTCCCTGTCTCTGGAACAGGCAGGCAGTCAGGCAGTCAGGCAGTCAGGCAGTCAGGCATACATATGGTAGACAACTCGTTCATGTACCATGTACCACCTCCTATTGTTCTTGTTTCTCTTGGCATATGGGACCACACACAGATTGTGCTGTAGGGGTCTGCCCTTGGTCACTGCTGGACTAACACATTGCGTGTACCGTTTGGGACGTTTAACTCTTTGGTTAGCCTTTTTTGTACCCGGTATTTGTGGGTTCAAGAGGGTGGCATGGGCTTGTGAAGGTGTTTGTAACAGGCAGAGGACCATATGCAGTGGAGAGCGCACAGTGGATCGTAAGCGAGAGAGAGAGAGAGAGAGAGAAGCGTGTGATAACAGTCAGCTGTAACTTAAGTCGGCCACAGGCTGTTAACGGCGAACAGTAACATGCTGTTACCTTAGCTTGTTAACAGAGCTGTTTCTATTCCTATGGCTGGATCTGTGTCATGGTGAAGAGACTCTCAAACTACTCTGTTTTGCCTGCTGTTTTCCAGGTACTATCCAGTCGAACTTCTTGCCCATAATCTACCCTAATGTTGGTATTCATGACTTGGTTTTGTGTTCATTTTGAGGCGTGTCCATGCCAAGTTGGGTGCTGTGGGTTAAGTATGGTAGCAGGGGGCTGAGCGACAGCTGGTGAAACACACACACAAAAGTGTAGAATGAAGTCACATGACAGAAGGAAAACATTGTGCCACCCCCCAAAGAACTAAGAAGAAAACCCCAAAAGCCAGCCGCATATTTCAGAGCCAACTCTGCTTGGACTCAGTTAATTTAAGACTTGGCTGAAATCTAGGTAGGGGGCTTGGTGGTAACCTGTGGTTCGTGCGAACAAAAACGGACGCTGGTCAATGTCATACACAAAGTTGCACGAGTCAACTTGGAGGCCAAGAAAAAAACACGAAAGTTGATCAAGAACTTTTGCTAAACGAGCAACAAAGAATACGAGTACGAATACCCCCTCTACCGACCACACACTTTCCATAGACAATAACTAATTTTCACCAAGCACACGTACAAGTTGTGCCACCGCCCCGTACCCACACCTGTGCCCGTCTTCAAGTCTCGTGTTCGAGCTGCAGTTTTCCCCTGGATGAACTTTTTGCGACTAGAGTTTGAGAGCCACTTGGCAGCCTGCTGCCCCCGTACTTCTTGACTTCGTGACAGATCCTAAACTTTAGAGAATTGCACATTCAGGGGTGGCAATACAGCGCTACTGCAACATAATTGGCTGGATCGTAACAGTGAGCGGAGCTATAACTGTTAACACCCAAAGCAAAGGAAAAAACCGAGAGTGGATCGTAAGAGAGAGAGCACAGATGGTTAACAGAGAGTTGAGCTGTAACTGAACTGTAACATGCTGTTACCATAGGCTTATAACAGCACTGAAATTTAATGCACATTAACATCCCAAAACGAACAATGTAACAGAGAAGAAGAAAGAATTCCTTGTAGTTATTTTTAAGAGGCACTTTAGAGAAATTAACTTAGAGCTAGTTATCCATTATCAAATGGTTTCTCTGGTATATCCCAACGCGATGGCTCCACTGACACACTCCCGCTCTCTCGCCGCGCTAAGCGCCGGCAAGTCATCAAAGGTTACAAATCACTGCCAGCTTGAGCCAACTTAAAATATTAGCCCAAATGGTTTTGCGTGGAAACTTCGTCATGCACACATGACTTGGCAGTCGTCAGACTACCGTTAGAAAGTGCAGGGGGAGAGGGAAGGGCACAAGCGAGAGTGTGGTGTGGCATATCCTCGCACATCGCAAATGTGTGCCAGAAAATTGCATCTTCTTTGCTCTTTGCTCGCCGGCTGCCGGGGGCCTTCTATTTCAGCCACTTCGTTTGGCTTCCAGTTCGGAGAATAGACAGCTACCATGCATCCTCCTTTTCGCATGTGTGTGTGCGGGATCCACCCACTTCCGAGTGTGTGTGTGTGTGTGTGTGCATCGCAGATTACATGCCATCGATGTGTGCTTTGGCCACTGGCCAAACACTGGGCTTGGCGGGGCTAGGCCATAAAAGAAGTACGCGTGTGGCTTAGTGTTACGTTTTTTTGGTGTATTCCCGGCTGTGTTTGTTTTTAATGCGTTTCTCATTTCTTTATGGGCTCGACGTGCGTGCTGCTTTTAAGCCCTCAAGGGCCTCATCTGCTTATTTGGTCAGGTATTAATTAGAACACAAGCTGACCCAGCTGCCATTAGTGTAATTCTGAGAAAATTTGCCAGAATTAATATTGTAAAATATTGTTGGCACTTATTTTATTTCCTTGGCAATACTTTTAAAACTGTATCACATTCTTTGCCACTTACAGCTGCTGTGGCCACGGCCTGCCATCGCCCATTTCAAAGTTCACAAACCACAAATGGCCCCTACAGCGGATTGGAACGTGTTGACATTTTTATGCCACTATTCGTATAAGTATGTATGCGCTCTGCTCCCTTCTTCTTCTCCTCTCTTTTCTTTTCGCGGTGTGCTTCTCAAACTTTTTTCGGGTGCTTTTCGGCTGATATGCTGTCTTGCACAAGGGCTCCCCGAACGGCATTCAAATGCACAATTGTTGTCACCACGACAACGTTCGCTGGGCGTTGTGTGCACTTTTGCTTGTGTGTAAGCGAAGCAAAGGGTATATTGATTCGTAGCAGATGTTTGAGACGCTATCAAGAGTGCATATTTATAGATTTGCTGAACATATCTTAGTCTGTATGGATGCATATGTTGTGGAGTATATTACTTATCTTCCCGTGTGAAGTACCAGGGTATCCCGTAGTCCATTCACTCAACTGCATTCTACTCTCTCGTTGTTTTTCAAATGGCAGTTTGTCTCTGCGTTTGTGTGAGTGCCTGTTAGTATGCTAAACATCCGGTGGCTGCTTTCTACTGCTTTTGATTCCTCTGTGGCTCGCTGCTGCCGTTGCCGTTGCCGCTTCTGTCGCTCAACTTCCGCTCGAATAGAGTGAAAAATAGCATTTTAGTGGACAGATTCCCTCTGGGGACAACCTGCTCGCGTGCTTCCTGCTTGTGCCGTACCGTTCCGTCTGTCCGTGCTCTCTCCCTCTCTCTCTCTCTTTTTAGGTTGCGCTGCAGTAGAGATTGACAATACAAAAGAGCGCGGAGGAGAGCGCGGCGGAGACCGCGACCAGCCATCTGGATTTAAGCCGTCAGCTGTTAGAGGCATTCTGTGCACTCTACACTCGGTGCTCGCTCTAACCAAATTAAATAGTACAATCTACAAAATGTGTGTGTTGTATGCGCGTGTTGTGTAAGTTTTGTAATTGCAAAAGTTGCCCGCGAAGTTCGTACAGA